AATAATATCATCTCTCTTCTGTGCAATTGTTACACCAATTAAGCATTAAAGAAAAATTGAGAATTAGTAAGTAGAAACTATAGAGAATTAGTGGTCTTGTGAATATAAATTTTATAACCTAAACCCACAAAAGGAAATATGGAAAAAAAACTGAAGAGCCTGTTTTTCACTTTTCTGTCCAGATCAGATCTCTTGCCACTGTAACAATATGAGAAAGCAAGACTGAACAGTTTAAACTTAGCCTTATTTCTCTTCTATTCCTTTTTTCTTTTTTTTTTTCCCCCAAATCTGTTATCAAATTAGTTTCTCCCAGCTAAAACCTTTCTCTGCTAAACAGCCAGTGAGATATTAATGTTGAGAAATGTTTCCTGATCATGTGTATATACAAACAGTGAAAGGTGTAGTCTGTATTTCAGTGGCTGGAATAATGTAAGCTGTACACTTAGGATTGTTAAAGGAGAAATTAATCTATGTAGTGCTATGTGACTTTATGCTTCTGTGATTTAGGTGTCTGTACATTTAAAATGTATTAATCAGTGGAGTGTGGTACAAGATGTGTTCATCATGGCTTCCACTGTATGTATGTATGTATGTTAGAATTTTGTAAGGAGTTTTATAATGGTTTTAGTCACAGAGAAATGCTCTGCATCTGCTTTATCTTTCGTTCTTCCTTTGCTTACAGATTTGTAAGATTAGTCTGTTCATAAGGTTTCTTCCTTTTAGTTCGTAAGATTAGTGTGTTCTGAAAAATATTATTCTTTCCTGTTACATGGTAACCACATAGAACTATTTTACTAGTGAGATTAATGAGGCATTGATGAAGGAATCTGTTTGTAAGATGTATCTGGTCATAATTTGTGATGAAATTAGAGGTGTGTTTTGAAGGCCCATATGCCTTCCTTTTCTCCAGAAAGTGGTGTCTGGGGTGTGTTGAGCTTTTTTGAATGTGTGTTTATTGGGTTATGTGTGTGTCTTCTGGTCGTGGTTGCCGCATGCATTCTATAGAGGAGTTCCAGTTGCCTTCTTTTTTTCTCTGCTGCTGTTACCATACAAGAACCATTTTGCTTCTAGCCTTTGTCCTTTTATCCATGCTTACTTAGATTTGTTTACATAATACTAGACATTTAACTGTAAATTACACAGCAAAAACATGTCTGGACTGAGACTTAGGAAAGATTCCAAACACTTCACATTTGCCTGTTTGTCTTCCTTTAATTGCATTTACACTTGAGGCATTTGATGTGGCTAGAGGAAGGTAATGCTGTAGCGTAATGAGAGGTATGAGAGCTCTTATTTTCCATTGAAGTGTAGGACAGATTGTTCCATGATTGCCTCACTAAGAAAGCATCAAACACTACCGGGTAGGGTTCTGTTAGAGGCCCAGAAGGGTGACTGCTGATACAAGAGCCACGCAGGTCAGTATATAGGATGGCTCATCCATAGTCTTGGTGTTGACACTAACCAGTTTAAACACACTCTGATTGCTCCTCTACATGGTACTATGAGAGAGAGATAGCTGTGTCCCTTGAGGAAAACTTCACCTTCAGGCTTTTTTAATGGTTCTCAGGCAAATAATTGAAGTGTCTTTGCTAAAATCTTGATGTGAAAATGAGTATTGAATCCTATATTGAAAACTGTTCTGAATAGCATTTGCTAGAGGTGGATGATTATTTGCCGGCATTTTTTTCCCAGTGTCATAACCTACAAATGAACGCTAGGGGATGCCACACTTCTACCAAAGTTAGCGGACTGGGGACGGGGCAGGGGAACCTGCCAGATCTGTGAAATTACTACCATTCCTTTCCACACACAAAAAAAAGTAAGGAAAACAGCTTTTGGTGATTTGATGTAATAAGGGTATTTTATTGGAACGTGTCTGAATGAGTAGAAATACATAATATTTTAATTCTTTACTAAATGTCTGGGGGAAACATCCTTATTAGGTAAGTATAAAGAAGTTAATTTTTCAATATCTATCCTCTAGAAACATTTGAATCAAGATCAGGATCCCATTTGATTAGGTTACATGCAAAAGTAGGTGAAGAACAGTTCAGATACTGTATACAAAGCTACAAAGCTGTTTAGTCCAGGGCTCCAATCTTGGAAACTTTGACACCCTTTGACAATAAATACAGAACAGCTTATGGGTTTGAAATTTGTTACAGGACAAGCCTGGTTGTTCCACACTAGAACATGTTCTTCCTTTAAATAATTTAAATTGATTTCAAGTGCTTGTAGAAACTATACAAAATAGAAATATTTAAATGTAGGCCAATTACATAAACTTTCATTATTTTACCACTAAGAACAAAATCATATAAACATGTATGTAGATGACTTTTTTAATTAGACAAGAAACCGAGCAACTAAGGACAAGGAGGAATGACAACCTTACCTTTCAAAGAAATTGCCTCTTACAGCATTTGCTTTACAAATCTTTGCAAATAGAAGCGATATTAAAGAGAATTTGTAATTATTATGCATTAGTTGCATACGATCACTTTTTTTAATATATTTTACATTATTCAGATACCTGCACTTTCTGCCCTGTACAGCCATGCAGCTCACCCCTTAAAAAGAAGGCATAGTATTTGTTCAGAAAAACATCAGTATCAGGTTTTGGGTGCAATTTGAAATGCTGGTGGTACTCTATGCTAAGTTTTCCTAAACAAATACATACATAAACACAAGTGTTTCCTGCAAATATATTGTGGGGTTTGCAGCTTACGGTTTTGTTTTGGCTTTAATGTAAACTCTCAGAGAGGAAAAAAAGAACAGGCCAAGTGCTAAAAGGTTCATTTTGCTCACAGGAATGCAAGGAACTAATCTTAGTCAAAACATTGTAGATCAGTGAGAAGCACTTTGAAGTTAAAACACAGGAAGTCCAGAGAACTGGTCAATATTTGTATGTAGTTTTCTTTTTGTAGTGGTGACTTTGGGAAAATGGGGACATACATACAATTAGAACAGATCGAACTGCCCCTCACTGTTGAAAGGGGTAATCTCCCTCCTTCCCTCCACTGCTTGTGGCTGCAGAGTCTAACCCCACCATTGCATCTACTTTTCTGCTGATTAAGCAAACTGAACGGGCTCACTGCAGGGTTCTACAAATAATGGAAGGAATGGGAATACGTGGCTGGGAATGGGATTGGTAATAATAGTACCCCTTTCAGTAGCAGTGAAGTCTTATATAAAACTTAACCATCATGTTTAAATTCTAAGGACTTATTTGGGAGCTGAACTTGAAACATATGTGCTGACAGTGTCCCTGGTCTGGTAAAATCACAGTTTAGAAAGTATATTCCTTGTCTTTCTACATCAGTGCTTATCTCTATGTCAGCTTTACAAGCTTTATTTAAGTCATGAAAATTATTTTGATCTGCAGCCTAAAGTTAGCATAGTTTTTCCTTTTTTAAGTATTTTTCTGCCATTATATACAACCAAAGAAAAATGCCCTGTAAAACAGAATTATAACAACCAGATTTTTTTTTTCTTTTTTTTTTCCTCTCTGAATCATATTTTTCTGCTGTGTTGAAATGTTTGCACAGTGCTACTGTCCACGCTTGATTGTTTTGCCCATTCTCACCCCTTGCAAGAATAACGAAAGTAACGAGTGGTGTCCCCCAGGGATCGGTGGTTGGGCCCGTCTTGTTCAACATCTTTGTCGCTGACATGGGCAGTGGGATTGAGTGCGCCCTCAGCAAGGTTGCCGATGACACCAAGCTGTGTGGTTTGGTTGATACGCTGGAGGGAAAGAATGCCATCCACAGGGACCTTGACATGCTTGTGAGGTGGGCTGATGCCAACCTCATGAAGTTTAACCATGCCAAGTGCAATGTCCTACACCTGGGTCGGAGCAATCCCAGACACAGCTACAGGCTGGGCAGAGAAGAGATTCAGAGCAGCCCTGCGGAGAAGGACTTGGGGGTGGTGGTGGATGAGAAAATGAACATGAGCCAGCAGTGTGCGCTTGCAGCACAAAAAGCCAACTGTATCCTGGGCTGCATCAAAAGGAGCGTGACCAGCAGGTTCAGGGAGGTGATCCTGCCCCTCTACTCTGCTCTCGTGAGACCTCACTTGGAGTATTGTGTGCAGTTCTGGTGTCCTCAACATAAAAAGGACATGGAACTGTTGGAACAAGTCCAGAGGAGGCCACAAGGATGATCAGGGGACTGGAGCACCTCCCGTATGAAGATAGGCTGAGAAAGTTGGGGCTGTTCAGCCTGGAGAAGAGAAGGCTGCGTGGAGACCTCATAGCAGCCTTCTAGTATCTGAAGGGAGCCTATAAGGATGCTGAGGAGGAACTCTTCATTAGGGACTGTAGTGGTAGGACAAAAGGTAACGGGTTCAAACTTAAACAGGGGAAGTTTAGATTGGATATATGGAAGAAATTCTTTACTGTGAGGGTGGTGAGGCACTGGAATGGGTTGCCTAAGGAAGCTGTGAATGCTCCATCCCTGGTGGTTCAAGGCCAGGTTGGACAGAGCCTTGGGTGGCATGGTTTAGTGAGAGGTGTCCCTGCCCATGGCAGAAGCTTGGAACTGGATGATCTTAAGGTCCTTTCCAACCCTAACTATTCTATGATTCTATAATAAGCAGTTATCTGAATGCACAGAAGGAATTGAAAATGTGCAGGACTGGAATCTGAATGATTTTAAGAAAAATACAGCTGAGAGATCAAGAGAAAGACAGTAAACCAGGGGTTGCAGTACAAACTTTATCTTCTGCCTGGGAATGGATGTTTTGTATAGCTGCCTAAGAAATATTTGCAAGATTAGTTTTCCTCTTCCTTGGTATTTCCTGAATTACTAATGACACTCTGAAGTGCAGAGTAACATCACAACTGGTTTTCGATATGCATTGTAGTACCTGGAATGGTATATTCCAACATATCTTTAGAAACCAGGATTAAGCAAAACAGATTAGGCAGAGTAATGCTTTGTAAAAGGATAAATTGACATTTGTACAGGAGGTTTTTTGGGGGTCTGTAGTATCTTCAACACAAAAAAAAAATTATATTCCCTATACTTTTGTTGTGTTGCTCCTGATGTAGTTGAGGTGTTGCACACAACTTCACTTTGAATCCCCTACCCTCTGACATTGGTCCACTCTAATGCCACATGGGAATATGGTGGCTTTAAAAAAAAGTAATGAAGTTCATTTAATAAAAAAGCTTGGAGACCAGTCATAGAGTTGACTTATTTGTGTATCTAATTAACACACACTTGGACTTTATTATGTTACTGACAAGTACAGTGAATACAACAGGATTTGTTCTGCCCTTTCAGTATTATGTTTTTTGATGTGGGTATTGATTTCTTCACAGTAAGCTTCCCTTGTGGAAACAACTTGGCAGTGTCATTAGCTCAGGAGTGTCCTCTTCTCTGTCACCTGATAAGGAGGGTTTAGTAAACATAGTCTGTAAGTCCCACAGTGCATGAAAAATAATAATCTGTAAAGGTGCTAAAATGAATTCAACAGTTTATGCAGATGTCAGTTAATTATGGGCAAGTCTTTCACCTGGTTTCAGCAGACAAGGCCACAGCTGGGAAACATGTTGTTTCTTTTCAGAGACGCGATTATATTTCAAAGGCTTGCTTTCTTCCTGCCCTTACATAAGGTTGAAGAGGCAAGGAAGGATCTACAGTGTAATTTCTACTTTAAGAAAACATAGTTAATAACACAAATCTGGTGAAAACATGGATGTAGTGCTTGGTCACATAGTTTCACAAGAATTTCTTTTACTGTTAGTGCTTAAGTTATCTCAAGCTGCTCATTCCTGCTCTCTCAGTCATGCCACTGCCATTGCTATTGCAGCAGTGTCATGAACTACTGTGAATTGTTGCCTTTCCTGGGTTAAAGTTAACCCAGTAAATACCTGATTCACTGATCCCCTTCTCTGTGTAACCATTCAGAGAGTTGTGCTAGAAGTGGAACTGAGCTGGGTGCTGTGGCTGGAAGGAGTGGTGAGATGCTTAAGATGGTGTGTCTGATTTAAAAAAATGTGAAAAAAACCACCAACCCAACCTTGGTAAAACCATGAGTTATGCCTTTGTGAATGTGATTGTACTGCACGTTTGTGGTGAAAAAAGAAAGAAGGACTTAATGCTGGTGAGAGGCAAACCACAAAAATCAGATGAATATAGCAATCGGAATAGCAGATAGGGAAGAGAAAGCTGTGAATATGCAGAGCCTTAAAGCTAAAGCGAAACTGTATATATAGTGTGTGAAGGGGCAGGAAAGAGATCAAAAGTGAAAGTGACATAGCCTAAATCTGCAGTGGGTTGTGATAAGACATAAGCCTAGGAGAGGAAAAACCATTGTAATAGCATCATGTTTGTAATTCCATCACTTCACATGTTTCATGTGAGTTTCAGCAGGTGGAATCTTCTGTGAGATAATCAGCTTTTTTTTGAAAAAGAACCCAAACCAGCCAAAAAGTCACTTATCACAGTACTGTTAACCAAGTGATTCCTGAAAGTGACAAATCAGAAGAGAAACTGCAGTAGTAAGATTAGCTTTTAGTGCTTCCTAGACCTTGTCCTGAATAATTTTTCCCTTAACAGTAGTGACTTTCTTCTTGGGAAGGACCTTCACGTCCAAGTAAGTGCTACAGGCAGGATGTCTCACACCTGGGCATTAGAATCCCTTGGTCAAACAAACTTCTTTCAGTACTTTGGACCTTGTTCTCATGCAAGGTATAGACATTCCCATGGCCATGGACCTTGCACGTGCAGCGAGTTGGACCCATTGCCGTGTTATCGCACAGCAGGCAGGATAAGTTCACTTGCTGCACAGGTGCAGTTCAGCTGCACAGTGGGGTATGGTTTAGGTCTGACATGCAGTATATCTGCATATGCTTCACATCTGCTTTCTGGGTAACTGAGAATGTATTTGGCTGCATATGAAATATGAAATAAATTATATGTTAGGTTTTTAATATAGAACATATAATTTAAATATATAGTAATGAAAGTCCTATTTTATACAGGATATCCAACAGCCCAGCTGTGTTAAACTGTGGAGAAACTGGTTCAAACTGGAGGTGATAGGCATGAAATATATGAGGCATATGCCCTAAGATAACATAGGCTGTAGCACCTCTTAAAAAGCTACAGCTGCTAAAGCAAAGGGCTCAAGGTGGCCTTTTTTTTTTTCTCCCTCCCCAGGTATTTTTGGCAGATGATTGGACATGAATGGAGATTTCCTTTAGAAGGAAATGTACATGAGGTAGTTGCATAGAATACTAAAAATAGCTGTAGAGAAACTTTCTTAATGCACCAGATATCCAGTGTATATTACAAACAATATCAGCTTTTTACCTGTAGACAGTGACCATTGTGATCCAGAACAAGTAACGTAAACCAGAAGTATTTGAAGATGTTGTTCATCTGGCCACAAAGCCTTTTGAACGTCTGGGCAAATCAGGTACCTACTTGGCATAAACACACTTTCCTGTAGTTTCTGCTAAATTTACAAAATGACCAACCTTATTAGGTCACTGATTTTAGCATCCGTTCTACATTTAAAAATTCTAGAACTGCCTTTATAGACCTTTATTTCTGGATTCCCTATCAGATGGCAGCCTTATCTTCTGTTCTCTAAGTGGTTACTGATACTTTGGCAGACATAGGATAAAGGGAAAAGGTGGAAAAATTCTTGAAGGGAAAAGTGTTGAATTATAGTGTTTCATGTTCTTATTCTAGAAATTAGGGTTGTCAGTCAATGACTTGGAAATCAAGGACCAAGTTACATGACCATAATGCAACTTCTTTCCCCTGTGGTTTTTTTCTCTTTTAAATTCAGTATTATCCTTTGAAAAGATTACATTTCCCCTTTCATTTCATGTATCACTTCAAAATGTTATTTTTAAACCTCCATCTTTTGTCCGTCACCTACTGTTCCCTCTTTGCCAATGATGATTCACTCCCTATATAGGGGTACATATCAAGCCCCCTGTTTCTGTCACACAAAATCTTCCTCATGGGTTTCTGTTTAATTTTGAGGCTTTCAGTATATATTAAATAGTCTAGTCCCTTATAACACTGTGGTGCTTGATGTGTGTGCTTTATGGAGATTCTGCACAGCAGGTAGAGATTTTTGCAAAGAAGTCTAAATATAGTAGGTTGCACTTCTAGCAGTATTGTCTTTTAATTTCCTTCTGACTGAATTCGTGCTTTCCGTCTTTCCTTTGGTTTCTCTGTTTAGCCTTTTTTTTTTTCTTGCCTCACAGCCCTGCTTTCCCTTAACATCTCCAAAGCATCGAAAAGGACAAATACAAGCTAATCTAATCTCTCCGCCCTCTCTTCTACTTTAACAAAGCATTTAACTTCCCTGCCTCTTGCTTTTGTTTTCTTTACCTTTCTTTCCCTTCCCCCTCCAAAAAATTCACCACTCCTGTGTAAGAGTTGGCCAAGCTGCAGTAGGACATACAACCATTGTGACTTTAGCAGACAAAACCTTCTAAATTTTCCAGATGTACCTGTATGTCATTATACCAGACTTGTCCCTCCTGTCGTAAAATATGTGTATGGACAAGAAAACAAAGATAAGTCAAGTTTTCCTTACTGAATCCTGACAGAATTCTTTTGTCTATTCCAGCAGAGTAGCCTGGTGGCTGAATATAAATGCTGTATTCTGTTTGATATGCTTTTTGGGTTTTTGTTCTTGGTAACGACTAGAAGGTTTGTAGTTTCTTCTTTTACATTTATGCCACCATTTCCTTGAAGAGGACGGAACCTTAGGCCTTTTCTGAGTCTGCTTCTGCTTCTATCTATCTGCTGCATGCTGATTCTCTCTGATGGTCCAAGTGTGTCAGCTTGGCAGTGTTCCCAGTCACCATCAGCATTACTGCATTCCCAGAGCTGGATCTGGGTTAGCACAAAGCATTGACAAATCCAGTGTAATTAGTTTTGCTCCCTTGCTGTACTTCATAGGGATTAGGATTTTTTTATATTTTTTTGGTTTTTTAGGTAGAATAATATTAGAGTAGATAAGTTAAACAATGAGCACACGCGTGAACATCTGAGAGTCCTCGAATTTACTGCATGGGGGACTCGAACTTTGGATGTTTGTGTGCTGGGGGGGTGTTATCCCTGAGTGACATAGGCCTTTAGGTATGCAATTAAAGAGAAACCTGCCTTGAATGGTTTGAACAGTTAAAACTGATGCAAGTATGCACTTGAATGTCATGCATTTCCAGTGTGTTCTTGCTGCTGTAGTGGGCTGTATGATTCCCTTTATAGCAGCACTCTCTCCAGTTTCTGCTGCATTCCTAAAACAGAACAAACTGCCAGTGTAATCCACGAGCCTTCCTGCTCCCTGCCCTGAAAAACGTTGCCAAAGCTAAAAAGGGAAAATGCTTCCAGCAGGGACTCCAGAATTACTTATGAGATCAGAATTTATATTCTGGGCTGGTAATCTGCTGTTGCAGCCTAAATCGCAAGAACACAAAAAATGTAAGCACAGTGATAGGGTGGTTTGGCAGTTTTCCTGGGACAATGATATCTCAAGAAATAATCTAGTTGCAGTGTGGGACAGTGCAGACTAGGATTATTAATTTTACCGAGAGCTGCATAGTTATGACTCATGTCAGCTCTCAAGCGAAGACGTTCGTGTGGTAAAGTAGTATCATGAAAGGTGCTGGCTGGAACTAAGGGGGGGTATTAGTTTTATTTGTGATGGTGGTTTCTGGGATCATTAGCACTTGGGCAGAGGTGGAATGAAGTGCATATTGTGTTTGCAACTGTCCTTCATTTATGGAAGGGGGGTTTCTAAATTGGTTTTGCACAATCCTACTCTTGCATGCTGTATTGGAAGAATGTTTATTTTGCTTTGGTTAGTGTATTATCTAATATTTGTTATTTCAGTATTAAACCTCCCCTTCTGCAACTCCATTTGGTTTTCTTTTTTCCTTTTTGTTTTAATAATAAATAATCTTTTGATAACATGAATATGCTTCAGAATCACCTTTTTGTCTATGGTTTCCACTGTAATTTGTTAGTGGTTACAGAATGATAATGCTGAGCTACCTAATACCTAAAATTTTGAACAAAAATGTACAGGCCTTTCTAAATATTTGACCTTTAAAATCTTCATCTAGAGTTAAGGCTTCCTGCAGTAAATCCTCCCACTTTCACTGCATTAGGGAAGAGAGCTGAATCACAGTTTTGAATCAAATGCTTGGGAACTGGCCCAAGATCAAACTTGTTACTTACATGCCTCTTTCTCATTTTGTTTCAATTGCAGAATTTTACTATAAAAGGTAAAGCAAAAACATCCAAGAAGCTGTATCGATATTTTGGTGAGAGCAGACGGATAACTTGCCACACAGACAAATGTACGTCTTTTTCAGGGCCTGTACTGTATCTTAAAAAGAACCAAGTCCTACAGGGTTAACAGACAGGAAACTGCAGCTGCAGCGGCTAACACGGAAGTCAGATTTTTGTGTAACAGGCAGCCTGAGCAGGCCGAAAGGTGGGGGCCGGGAGGGGGGGCCGGGGGAGGACAGCGTCTGCTCTGATACTGGTGGCTTTGATTATGCTCTGCAGCGTTTTTATGAACAGGGAGGGCATGCACTGAATGGCAGCACCCTGTGTGATAATGCAGTTTCAACTGTATCCTAGTTTTTGCGGAAATGAGACATGAAGTTTTTCCTACTTAAGGCTTGGTTTATCATAGTACCTAAATAACTCACACTGCTGGTGTGTGGTTGCTATGGTAGGTGTCCAGGTGTCTGAATTCCAGAACAGGAGAATTCTCTGTGTTTTCAGTCAGTAATTTCAGTTGCTCCTGTGCATGCTCACTTTCGGTATGTTGTGATCTCTTTCTGTGGCCTTGCTTTCTCCGTGCAGAACACCAGCAAAGTGAATTTAACTTTTTGTTTAGAAAGAACAGCCGTTGTGACCTGGGTGAACTCTTCCTCCCTCAGGTTTAAAATATCCAAATGCCTTCAGTAAGCGGCACGTTGAGGCACGTTTGCTCAGACAGGCTGCTCGCGATCGCTTCCCTCTGCTTGAAAATCTGTGTGTTTTGTGCGGGGAGGGCACATTTGGGGTTTCTTTTCAAGTTTCTTTTGCTGAAACGGGCCTAGCTTAGCCTGTCTTCTCTACGCACAGGATGGCTCCTGCTTGCCAGAGCTGCACAAAGATAATCGCTCAGGAAGTGTTTCAGCCAATCCCCTGAAGCTTTACATTCAGATTTACCAAAGCAGCCAATCCGGGATTAGCTTTTATTAGGAAGACAGATCATCAAGCTTAAGTGCCAAGCCCTTTCTGCCTGAGTACTGAGAGCCTGTCCTCCATGTTTTATAAGTATTGACATAACACTGTGTTAACAATGCATCCACAGAGGTAAGCCTTACTTTTTACATTTTTTTTTCTCTAAGACCTATGAGTTGTGGGTTGAGAGTGTGATTCTCTGTGATTTGTTGTGCAAAACTCACACCACAGCACTTTATTAAGTTGGAACTGTTTAAATTTGCTTTCTTGGGTCACATGGTTAGTAGCCATTAGCCACAGCTTTATTTTGCAGACTGGCAAAACCTTGGCATACCTACTTCTTCACAGGAGGATGGTGTTTTTAGAGTTTATCAAGATCCTGGTATTCCAAAGAAGCTTTCTCTCTCTGAGCAGTTTGCCAGCACTATTGTCTGTTGTGTCACATGCCTGCTGAAGAGAAAATGGAAGCTAGGGAGCAGATGCATTTAACTGCCCTACAGGGAGTCAAGCAGGGATAATGGCAGACAGAAGAACAGGCAAGTTTACCTTTCTAAACAGTGAATGGAATAGCTAAGATAAGTTATCTCTGAAAAAATATGGGATTTTTAAAAACCTAGACATCAGCAAAAAATGCTAATGGCAGATTGTAGATATTGGGCCTAGGTGGTGGTGTGCTGTTGCATCATGTTTTTTATGCAGCTTATCTTAATTTAAAATGATTATTGAACCTTTTTTCTTGCAGGAGTAATTAATACAACGTGTTTCTCTTTCTGAGGGACAATGTATGGTTAATATTTTGTTCCTTTAAAAGGGAGTTTTTATGCTGCAGGTTTTGGAAATGGGTTGCTGCTCAATAAAATGCAGCAGTATATCTGTTTACAAATCTGATTCTTTATGAAAAATGTTTTTGAACTGTTAGCTTTCTTTTACATAGTTCAAATAAACTAATGTACCTTTTATCTGTGCCTTTTTGTTTTACACTGTGTCAGCCACAGTTCTGTGTTGTGGAGTCCAGAGGATATAAAATCATGTGTGGTTCATGACAGTAGTACATGTTGTTCGTTCTTGGTTTTTTTTCCTTTTTTTTTTTTTTTTTTTAACTTTTGGTTTAATGCTACGTAATTATTTCAAGAAAATCCTTTTTGATCAATTCCCAAATCTGCCAGCCTGTTGTATCTTCTTAACTGGAAAATTGAGATGGGTGCTTGAACAGTTGGTAAGTAAGCAGCATGCTACTTTCTGACCATTTTTAATAGTTTTCCAAACATTTTGTTTTTCCTGGGTCAGTTAGACCACTAGATGAAGTAATGTTAGTCATGCAAAATACCAGATTCGCTTAGCGTCCATTTTAAGCGACTTGGACATGTAAACTGTTCCAGTTTGCATGCACTGTATTTTTGATAATTTGCCTGTAAATTTTGAAGCTTATACTTCCTGTTTATCTAAGGCCAGTGAAAAATGCTCTCCTTACTGTTTGTTCATAGATCATTAATTACCATGTTTGCAGGGCAGAACGCATTTTCGTTGTTCCTTAGGCTTTTGAGGTGTGATGAAAGTGCTAGTACTCAGCAATGAAGTGACCTTATGAAGTAAAGTAGATAATGCTTAATGAGCATATGCTTCTGATACTATACAAAGTATAATCTCAGACAGACTTGCTTGATATATACCTAGTTTAGGGCAGTTTGTGCCCTTTATTAAGATTTTATTTGTAGCACTTGAATGCTTGTTTTAACAAGCTGTTTTTCAGTAATCCCCAGTATTGTTACAAAAGCAGAGGAGGGATGATCTTTCATGTTTTTAATGCCATTTTTGCACTTGTTTTAGCAGTTCACATACATTCACAATTTTAGGAAAGAACTTGGAGCTAAGCTAGCTTTGCAAATGACTGCACGGAGATACAGTTACACGCTGACTCTTATAGAGGGTTGCCATGTATTTGATAACGTTCTATAAGGTAGCAATTTACCTCTGGTTACTTGTTTGCCAATATGAGTATCTTTGAATACCTCACTTTGCTTTGCTTAACAGCTCCCTCCCTTACCCCCCCTTCCCCCCTCCCCCCCCCATTAGATTATAAGAATGTCTAGTTCACTTTGCAACCTGAAGCACTTCTGGGTTTATGATTGAGTTTCATGTGATAGCATTTTTTAAATGCAATTTTAATGCTTTTTTTTTCAGTATACAAAGAAGTGCTAACACAGCTAAGAAGTTATTCTTTTTTTTTTTTTTTGTTCTTCAGCTGCTAAAACAGAAATTACATTTGGACATAATTTTCCTATCATCAGTTTATACACATCAGCAGTTTACTTTCAGTCTTAAATAGTGCACAACATAATATTGGTTTAATATGAGGAAGCAGGAGTAAGTGATCTGCAATCAGAAAGCTTGTATTAAAATGGCTCCCACAGGTTTTGTTAAACTAGGATCTGTTTCAAATCTGCACCTCCAGACACACTGCTGACAGTGAAGCATATTTGTATAAGCTGTCCTTGTGCATGTAATGAAACATAGCATCATGAGTCTGTTAAAGTTCACTATTTTTAATCACTCAAATATAATTCTTTTATAGTTCACAAAAAATAAATGTCTGCATTGCAGCAAGATGTCTGAGGCAAGGTAGAGACAGCAGTGTTGTTTTACAGATCAGCCCAATCGCGCTGCTCCATGGAGTACTGGAGCCAATAGAAGCAGAGGGTAGGTTAAAGATTGACAATTGCAGTGGCAAGACTGAGAAAGGCCTTCTGGAAATTTCTACCATCTTTGTTCCATCTAAGTAAAGCAAATTCAGCCAAGCTGAAGAATTTCATATATTTTTGGTGCTTTGTCAAGGTATGATGTTATCACTCACTTTCATAGATTGCATAATAAGAAGCACTTGGTGCTGGTTTTTCTTCTACTGTTCAGGACAGATGGAATGTGGGGTTTTGTTTAAGTGATAGATGCGGGGAAAAAGCACGTATTCTTTCTACCCAAGATGTTACAGGACTGGATCTTGTTAATATCACAGTTAGTCAGGACATCTATGAAGCAATGTAGCTGAGGTTTATTCAGCTTGTAGCAAATGGCCATTATTCTAATGTAACTAGTAGTTAATCGTATAATTGCACTTTAAGTTTTCTGGCTGCTAAAGAGTAATTTGAATTGCCCAGGATGAATATGATTAGCCATTATTTAGTGCCAACATTCAGTTACTTTTGTAATTAGCTGGACAAAGAATGCAGTGGGGGGAAAACAAAGGAGTGCTTTGGATTATAAATTATGATGAAAACAGTAGCTTTTTAAAAGCTACATGCCTCTTTCATTCTTTGCAGGCAAACTGTTTTAGTTGGAAGCTAAATAGTGCTAGGGAAAAAACTGAGTGATTTCTTTAAACAAATAACACTACTTAACATACTGAGAATGAAAAAAATGCAGAGCATAAACCACTCCAAATGTGACATTTCCCTCCCTTGCATCAGGCAGGAGTATTGAAATGTTGCAGAAAACCTACATAGCTACTAAAGAAGCATGTAATAAAAGAAACTTCGTCTCAAAAATCATGAATAAGGTAGATTACATTGCAGACTTAGCCTTTTGTATCAGTGTCCTCAAACTTTGATTGGCTCGTTTTCCTGAGCTGTCCTCCATTTTGTGATATCACTTTTGCTTGGCTGTTGTTTTATCTTTTTCATTTGTCTTTTTTCCTTTTTGCTTTGTTTTCAAGTGTACTGGACATGTGGATTCAGTAGCTGAGAAGTTGGTCATGGTCAGTTTTCCATAGTAATGGTGCCATTCCAACATAATTGGTTAAAGGGTGATAAATCTCAGTAAAAGCTCTCCCTCCTCTTCTCTGTGTGGGATTCAGGGTATTAATTTGAATCTCCTAAATATCTTGGAATTTGAGCATTGAACATAACCTTTGTCCATGTAGAATGGAACAGACAGCTATTTTCAAATTTTATTTTTTGTAGATCTCTAATATTTTTCCCATGGCCACGTGAATCCCATTACAGTGAATTTGCGACTGATTGACTAGGTTTGATTTACTTAGATTCTGTAAACCTCTTAGTACAGTCTTTGAGGGGTCTGCAAACCAGAAACTGAGGACTGTTGTAGTAGGCCATCAGTTTAGCCCTTTAAATTGTATTTAGAAATGATTTTAAATATATTTCTTAATACACATCTTGTATTCATGGGTTAAAGTTCAATTTAGAAACAGCTACACTGGAATCGAGTTTTAGTTTTATTTATTTGGTAGAAGTTGTCTGTCATTCTTATGTTAACCCTTTATTGCCAGTTGTCATAGCATGTGTTTCAATACTGTGAGATAGAAACCATTCTGCAGCAGGATGTGAACATTCTTAATTTAGCCACTATAAACCTTTACTTTCAAACATGATTGTTCTCAAATTATGTTTTTATCATCTGAAACCTATAGCTATTCTGGATGCCTTGCTTGGGCCTCAGCTCTATAGCTTGTACTCTTAAGGAAGACTGTATGACACCGAGGATCTCCCTCACTCACTCCCTTTTCTCTTTTGTGGAGTTATTTTGGATGCTCACTGAAAAAGAATAAGGTTTTAAAAAGACCCTAAATGCTCTTTGCTTTAAAAAAATACATATTTACTTTGCCTGTTATCAAAGGTAACTAGCTTAAACAATACAGTATGTAGATATCTGAACAAGCATTTGTATTAAGCAATGTTAATTGCTTAATATAAATTGAGCCTTTTGCAGGGAATTCTGCAAAAGGAAATGTAAAATATGAGGTGCTCAAACTGGAGAATGAATCTAAAATTAAGTGATTTCCTTAGTAACCTGTGACTTCACAAAACCCCCTGTCTTGTGCCTTTTTAGTTAAACATTTGGATGTCAGGTGTCCTTTTGTCACACTTTACCATTTCTGATGTTTGGATGCTTGCTTCAAATATAGCACTGCTGTTTAAACAAGAGATAACTGATATTGAATAAACTGCTACCATTTTAGCTACAGTACAGGAATGAGGCAGTGCAGTGCTGTCAGACGCCATTTTAAGAATCCTGCATAAATAGCATAGCTACCGATGAGTAAGAGACTGTTATAGGTGAGTGCTTATACAAAGCTGCTATTTATTCAGCAATGGCATGCAAATTTTTTTTTTATTTTTATTGAATGCAGTTTTTTGAAATAATTACTTAGAATTGCTACTCACAAATGTGATATAGGAGAGGTAGGAATTAAGGATGAAATTCAGTTTTAGTGCTTGTAGTCTTAAATCAGTGGGGTTCTTTTTGTATTTCTGTTAATTAAAAGGAAAAATGAATTCCATAAATATATATAGGTTTTTATTTTAAACTAATGTATTTGTTCCCTAATGTAGATCTAGATTGTGTGTGTGGGCATTAGCTGTTTCGAGTGGTTTTCCATATCTGTCAGTTTTTCCTTGGTTAAATGTCAAGGTGCAGTAGTTCATCTGCAACTTTTAATTGCTCTTTGTAGTTAATATAGTTTAGAACAGCTTTATATATTTCTGTATATGTAGGTTTTTTTAAGGAAGTACTACTACTGGAACAGGGAGAATTTTCCTAAACAGAAAAGTCAGTATTTATTTACTGGGTTTATATTAGAAAAACTGAATTTAAAAAACCTCACCCTCTCCTCAGTCTAATAGAGAACATATTTAAAAGTTAGGCAGCCGAGTTCTTGCATTTATACCTAAGTCAATAAATTTTGTATGTTTGCAATCCATTTTTTTTGTTTCCCTTCTGTCCCCAACTATCCCCAAAGGGATAACCTCCACCCCTTCTCCCTTCATTCAGACATGCTAAACTAATTTGTATGAAACAAATCAGCTTTTAAATTTTGTCAATATGAGCAGGGAAGTTTGAAATGATGAATTGGTGTTCTGGTCAATTGACGGTGAACCTGGCAAAGCTTAGATTTCAGTTGTGTTCTTAAAATATTCTTCTGTGTTGATTCACCTTAATGAAGAAATAAGAGTGGCTTTCAGAGTGACATAAGGTGTTTATTGTATTCATCTAGGTACTTAATTGAGTATATACCAGTATCATTTCTGATCTGCAGCCCCAGAGCATCACATTCATAGTACACATGCATGATAGTAATGTATGCTATCTGAAATAACAGCACCAAGCCCTGCAGAAATGAATTCTCAAAATAAAACTCTCTAAAACAGTCTAGTCGATCACAGTTACTGTTTCCGTAGAACTAGATGCTTGTTTATAGTTATTTGGCTGCTGGTTTTAATTTTGTCTTTATTTTGTTCTGGGTAATAGTAGGGTACCTGTAATTAAGGACCTGTTTTTCCTGAATTATTTAATTGGAAATCTTTTGGTAATGAAATTTCTGCATTTGGAAGTCTGTGTTTTGTAAAGAATATTGCTTATATTGATGAAAGGTGCAAAGGTGAAAAGATGTCAGCTTCAGAAAAGTTACTGTAAACTTGCTGTGAATTGCTAGCATGTATTTAAAAACTTAAGTCTTAAAGATTACCACTACAATCATCACTACCACCATTCAAACAATGCCGAGTTGTGCAAGTCATAATACATTACAGCAAATAAAACAATGGGAGATGCTTCTGGAGAGCTGTGAATTTCAAGTATTTTTTTAATAGCTCTGTCTGATACACTTACTTAACTGTTCCCCCCTTTAGGTTTTTTTTTTTTAATCAAGAACAATATCAGTGATTTTCTTGAGTACTTGAATGCTTGTGCCCTGAAAAGATGGAACAAGATTAATTATAAGAGAATATGGACATGCAATCTGGTTCTCTACAGCTCAATTTTCATGGTATAGCAGATAATTGCTGAATTTTTATTTTAGCTGTGGGTGACGTGTAGTGTGCATGTGTGTGTATGGGTATGTGCACCTCCATTGCTTAGAAAAATGAATGCAAGTGAATGCAATTTTTTTGACTGATCATTTATGCTTCAAATATTTGTTGAAGTTGTTTCCAGGTATCTTTGTGTGATCTGTGAGAGATGTGTCAAGTCAAGGCACTTTGTTCGTCTTGGAACTGCATATGAAGTGAAGAATGTTCTTCTTGTCTCTATAGATCTACTGAAAGAACACTTAAAGAGGTGGTAGAGGAAACTGGCTGAATTTCCTAAATTAAGCTCATTAGATGAGAAAAGACAGATTTAGAGCTGAAGAAACCTCATCTACTGTAACCAATGTGTAGGAGCCCTGACCTTTGACACCAGACTAATAGGTTTGGGCCCACCAGTGCAAAGCATCTTTGGTTAGCTTTGCAACTTCCCCTGCTACTTTGGTCAGGATGTAGGAGCAGTTTCCCGCTATGGTGTTGCTGTATTGAGCTGTCACACCCACTTCTTAGCCAGGATTCATGCACAACGCTGTCTTTTAATACTGACTTGTAGCTTCTAGCGTATCTTTCTTGCTGTGTCATGTTCCCCCGAGGTTGTGATTTGAACAAAATGTGCCTGGTTGCTTTGGATGAGTCTGGAATGTTAACAGTTGCTTTAATGTAACTTAAATGTGAGCTGCTGGTGGAAGGATGTTACCCCTTTTACCCCTTCCCCACATGTGTTATATTCCCATTTCCTCTTTTCTGCACATCCAGCTGCACAGGAAACTGTATCACAGAACTGATTCACTTAAAATGAACACGATTTCTTGAACATGAAGTTAGGGATTGGGGAAACCATTCCTTTTAGTAGCAACCTGTGTAAAATGATCATAAGACTTTAGCCTGAGTCTCATAAAGACTTGTATGTCATAGTCTGTGGCTGAAACTGGATCTATCTTTTAAAAGCAGGTAATGTGTACTGCCAAACTACTTTACTCTTGACAGAATTAGTGGGTATTATTATATATTTACTTCTGTGCGTTAATCATATATAAATAATGTTTTTAAAAATATGCTCTTTTTGTTACAGTTTGGTGATACTAAAATAGGATTTTATAAGGGGAGGGGGGGAGAAAAAAATAATGCAACATTGGAAGAGAACAATGAACCCATCCTGTGAGCCCAACCCTTCCCATTGCTTAAGGAAAGAGAATGGGCAGAGGCAAGTGGTGTGTGAAATGTTTTGGTGTCTGGAGCGCACTGCCAGCTCCTCTTTGCTGGAGGCCCTCTGAGAAAGGGTGTAAGAAATGTGCAGTATAATTGATCTGCCCATGCGTAGTAAATTGGTGAACATTGTAGTATGGTCAACTATGTTATGCATTTAATCTGCCCATGCAAAATAAACCTGAGAAGCATTGTGCTACGGTCAACTGTGCTACACATTTACCATAATTCTGGTCACATGGGTGCCCTTCCTTGCTGCTGAAAGCAGCAGCACAGTCCACGAGCTGGGAGTTTGGCTGCTGGTAGAATAGAGCTTCTCTTCGCTGTTTTATGACTTTAAAATGCTTAATTTATAAATTATTGCCATATACAAATGACAAGTAAAGAATGATAATTTCTGGAGTTCATGGATCTTCTCAGCTTTGGGTCTTCCATACACTGAGCTCAGTTAATTTGTATTTAAAATTTTTGCTGACATAACTGTCCTGTTTAGAACTGTGAAAATAATTGCAACCCAACCTGCTAGTAGCTGATAGTTGATTAAAAGTAGTTTTGGCAAATACCAGACTCAAAAGTCCTGCTGGCAGGTTTTACTTTATTTGGGAAGCTGTTTTCACTTATACCAGAAACAAAACTCCTAATATAAACTGTTTGTCAGGCTGAAGAGTTTCTCTGGTATAAGCATAGTCAAGTCCTCAGTGTTGTTTCTGAGCTCTGATTAGCTGTCTCGAGCAGATTTAGCCACAGTGGCTAAAGCAAAGGTCTCTTAACTGGCCTTTTATCCTCTGTGGTACAAATAGCTGTCCCCAGGGCTGGGATGGCTGAACAGGATTTCAGTCCACTCCATACCAATGGTAATTCACAGTCTGCCATATCAATGTAACTTGGTATCAGCAGCAGCTTACATTAACAGACTAGACAGTAGATTGTTATTACAGAGGAAAAGATCTACATCACGTGTGGCTGTTGTGTCTGGTGGTATTAATGGACAATGGTCATACCTGCTTCAGGCACTATAACCTCATTTGTCTGTCATTTTGAATTCGGGCTTGCTTCAACATCGAATGTTTTCTTTTATCTTTCATCCACAATAGTCGGGTCTCCAAAACTGGTGTATAATTCAATATTCAGTCTAGTTCTTTTTTCCTCTCCTTTCCACCTTCCTTCCCCAAACTCACTTAACTAGGCAAATTCATTGAGTTATTTTCTTGAATGGCATCACTGTAAGAAAGTAGAACATCAGGAAGTCAGGTATAGTTTGTCATCTGCGAAATCATTTAATCCTGCCTAGAGTAAATTACAACTGTCTATGTAAGATTGAATGGTTGAATAATAGCAATAACTCTGTTCTGTTTACTCTTTATTATAGTCAATAAGTGGTGGAATTATATTGCTAATAAATTACAGATATTCAGTTTTCTGTTACATAGTCTAGTTTCAAAATCACAGAATTTGAGAATGGCTTGGGTTCCTTGAAATTATTTAATAGTTTTTAAAATTGCCTTTTACCTTCTAATTTTGCTAATTGTTTTGTGTCACTAAATCTGTTAGTTCAGCTAATCTGTTCACTGATGCTGATGAGGGTTTAGATGTTAGCAGGCATCTGTCCATACAATTTATAGAAGCCTCAGATTAGGAGCTATAAGGAACAGAATTCCTATTTGTCACGTATAGTTTATACATCCAGTGACATAATCTTCACTACCTGTTGCAAGACTGTTGTTACTATGAAAATGTTACCTTTGTAATTGGCATCATGCAGCATACAATATACACCTGGATTGTTTCTCTACATGTTTTGGCCAATGCATACTCTTGCAAACAGCAGGCCTTTCAATTCTTTAGAAATTTGTGATATAGTTGTGTTTGACAGTGTCTAAACCTGAAGTTAGACACGGAATAATGCAGTCTATAACTATTCTAATTCACCTTTTTGAATCCTGCAGCTTGGCTGAAGAGGAAATAAAGGCAGAGCAGGAGGTGGTGGAGGGGATGGATATCTCCACTCGATCCAAAGGTAAGAAGGAATATTTCATCTGTGCTCTACAATATACAAATATTTGTAAACCAGGATAGTGAAACTGATCTACCATGAAGCTGCTCTTCAGTGAACTCAAGACTTGTTGTACTTTTATAACATACTGTTGTATGTATTGTATGTATTACTTGGTTTTCATTCTATTTCAAACCTCTTGCCTATGCACACTCCATTGTTATTTCTGGTTTATGAATAACAGGTTAAATTATGAAAAAGCATCAGTGTCTTGTATCATCTCAGTTATCATGGCTTCCTCGCCACTTCCTTTGCAGTATAGGAGAAAACATTAGTGGTGGTAGTAATAAGGTAGTAGTGCTTACAGTAATGAATCCTAATTTTCTTGAATAAAGGATGGTACCATCTCTGTTTCCACAAAAACTGGTCCTCTGAGTAGTGTGTATTTCATGGATATTTACATATGTGTTCCTGCCATGAATTAAAATTGGTGGTGGAATTGCAGGTGACTGATGATTTCTGTCCTCATTTCTGGAGTTTTCCCTGTGAGTTACTACAGGCAAATGATGTTATCTCTCAATATAAAGAAAGCCAAGCATGTAACAATCCATATCAGTGTAAGTATTCCCACTGTTGTTTGGAGTGGGGGCGCAGAAATGCCCTTCAATCAGAATACTTGCATATAATTATTTTTTACCTCAGTTCCTTGTAACTGACCGCCAGCTGCCCGTCCATCTCCTTTTGTACTTGCAGCTGACTTTGCACAAGCTCAGTTTACCTGGAAGCCCTTTCTGTAAAATGGCAGCAATGGTTTTTGCCATCCTTTTTAAATTCTGGCACATACTCACTGACTCTTCACATTTCTACTGCAGGGGTCAGAAGTCTAGTTAACTCTGAATGTGCAGATGTAATTGTCTTGTAAGTGTGGCACACATCATCTGCATTCCTTTGGTTTTTAATGAGATAGATTAGCTCGCTGTTCTGACTGCAAACCATTTTGCTATGTTGTATTTCCAGCCTGATCTATGAATTGGTGGTAGAACTGTAAGAGTTGAATATATAGTTTTGTATAGAAAGTCAAAGTATCATCAGTGTCATCTGCCAAGAGCTGGCCATGTTAGAGGCTTGCCAAAATGAGTCTTTCTGGGCTCCTGTTACGTGGATTGAGGCAGGTTTCTCAACTCAGTCCAGTGCTTCCACAGTAGAGAAGTTGCCAGAATCTTAAAACTGTTACACTCTGTGTTAAGGCAGAAGTTTCTAAACTGGTGGGATATTGGTACCCATGTTTCCACTTGTAACATTAATATTGCTTAGTGTGTTTTAGAAAGGGTGTAGATGAGGAAGTTAAACTTACATAGGCAGACCCTTAAGGGAAACATGCAGCTGTTCTTGGTTTGTTTGGGTTTTTTGACGGCCTGAGAAGCTTGTGCAGGAGATCAATCAGTGATATTGTATAACTTCACACTCAGCCTGGAGAAGCTAATATGCTGCAACTTTGTAACCTAACTTGCTCTGCTACAATTTCTACAGCTGGTGTGAGGCCAGGTCTAGAGAAGGTTGTAGGAAGGGGAGTTGCTGTAGAAAAAAAAATTGGCTGGTACGGATCTCTTAATGAGCACTCTTGTTTTGTTATAAGCAGTTTAAATTTAATTGCAATAAATCAATTCCAGTTGAGTTTAAGCTAAACTGAAAAATGCATTGTTTAACCTGTAACAAGGGTGTTAACATAGCCTTTGGATTGATTGAAGTAAGGTGGTGGTTTCAAAGCGGCCTAAGCTGGTCCAACTGCTCGGTGCAGCAGTTTTATCCACTTCCTTCCATACCTAAGCTGGCAGGAAACTAACTGAGCCATAAAACATTGATAGTTTTCTACTAGCTTAGGGTTCTGAAATGGCTTGGTAGCATGCCAGAACTGGTTTAAGAGAGAGGGCAGGAATATGCCGGTTGGGTGCAGGAAGTATAGAGCTTTGTTTGTAAGTGTTAGGCTGTAGAGCTTAAAACTGAGCTGGGACTTCTTGCTTATGCTTTACATTGTGATATGTAAGAGTGAGACAATAGCTGTGGTCAGAGTTGTGCAGCTCTACATGCCCATCTTCAGCTGCATTTTTCTACCCTTCTCAGGCTGCCACTGATGCTTATGCTGTTACACAGTAAGCTAGATCAAGCAGCTGACCTGGCACAAAATTAATCAGTTTTGTAATATTAGTTTTTGCCTGAATCATGAGCTGATTAATCCTACTATTACACGCAGGTTCCTGCCTGCAAAAGGTTGTGGGGATTAAATTCTGGTGAGGTGCAAAAAAGAAGAGCAGTAGCATTACTGTAGCAGATCTGCTTATAAACTGTGCATGTGAAGCTTTACTAAAGACAAGATTTTAAAATATACTTCCCTCTTGATCAGAACAAGAAGGCATAAGGTATCTAAGAACTGGAAGTGGGAAATGGCAGCTTAAAGAGTCTACAAAAAGTCCAAAACCATAAAATGAAATCAACAGAAGATTGCTGTTTAGCTAAGGAGAAAGGCCATGGATTAGATGATATTTTGTCCTTTGCATGAGATACACTAAACATCTTGTTACATTTTCTGTTCCAGCCCTATGGCCTGCTTTTTAACCTTGTTTATTAAACATTTCAAGATGGGGCTTGCAAGGCTTTCTGGAGGATTTTCTGAATATTTCCAGGTTGTGGTTCCAGAGCAGCAGAACAAACCTAATTGTGTGGTGCAATTCTCTGTTCATTTGCGCTTGTTCTCTTTGGAGAAAAACTGATGTTTTCATTCCATTAACCTGGAATATCTTTTTAATTTTTTTTTATTTTTTATTTTCTCACGTTAGTTTTTCTGCTGGTTTATCTTACTTAGCTGCTGACAGTAGTTAGCTGTGGTGGCAGATGGGCTTCTATTTAGGTTTCATGTATTTCAGCTGGTACTGTAACCCTTGCCTGTTTAGTGACTGGTCAGAAGGAACTCTCTTCTTCCCATTATCAGTCATACACCCCTTTTACTGCCTTTACATCTATGCTGGCTCTTAGCCAGTCCTCCTCTGAGTCAGTTCAGGACTTGGATATAAAATTAGTTTTCTACTGCTTATCTCCCTGAACCAGATTACTAGGGCGATAGACAGATGTCATTTCTAGCAGCAGACTTGCCCTCATCAGTGACAGCTAGTCCTTGGATGGTCTAGGTTGTCATAAAATTATACACTGAGACACTACTGTTTAATGGTGAGAATTCTGACTTTTACAACTTTTACATTGCTGCAGGTTTGTGTTGAAGGCTTTGAGCTTAAGGGCTTCTGTCAGTGGTAAAAAGTTGGAATATTATGAACATAAATGCAAAATGGAATTTCCAGAATACCTTATGTATTTTGTAACAGTTTCATAAAAGTACATTGTGCATCAACATTCTTTGCAGTGATACCAAGTATGTAATCACATAGAGATGAGATCTCGCTCCAATGTGAAATGTAATTTGAGAACCTTCCAGCGAACAGTAGTGAAGCCCCAGGCTTTCATCTGCAGTGCAGAGCCCTTTTTACTTGTAATCAACAGGGTGTCTTCAGAAGTGCCTTGAGGCAGCAAGTCCCCCTGCAGCCAGACTCAAACAGATTATATCTCTTATATTGTAAAATGATGGGAAGTGATTCTTTATCTTCCAAAGTCTTACAATGAAGAAACAAGTAACAGTGCCTTTGTGTACTTCTATAAAATCATAGTGTAGTAGGAGTTCATCAGGATTTACACAACCAGGGCTAACCTCTGTTATTTATTACATTAAGTGTCTGGATTGGGTTAATTGCATCAGTTGAAGGTTCTGGAATGTAAACAGGGCTTTAGTGGTTGATCGCAGCAGCATCATGTTTCAGAATTCTGGCATAAGAGTTGAGTATAAATTCTAACAGATTTATCCATGATTTTGTTAAGTGTTTTGAAGATAATTAAACTTGCTATAGTATTAAAGGTAATGGATTTGAAAAATCATAAATCCATTAGCAACCACTCAGGGCAATAATATAACTGGGAGACTTCACAGTTCTGGAATCCATATAAATTATTAATTGAAGCATGTTCTGTCAAATTGGACTGTAATGATGCAGACAATGGAGTTACTGTTGCTGCTTTTTCTCTCAGAATTCTCCATTGACTTCCCTCCATGCCATTTAAATAATTACATACAGAGCTTTTGAGGAAGAGGAAAGAAGAGAGAATTGAGAGTCTGGGTGGAAGTCGATTTTCTGGTTTTGTTCTTGTTGCTTCTAGAGGCAAAGCTACACATTTCTATGGGGTAATGGCAGCTTAAGCAGCCTTCTGTCACCTTTGAATCCTTGCACCTTCCCTCGTGTTGCCTTCTTTTTTAAGCCAGCCTAGCTGTAGTAGTCTAGCAGAAGTAGCCTTGGGCTGGCTCTGTTTAAGTAACAAGAGTGTAACTTACAGAAAACAATTGATAGGTATCTAATTGGAAACATTACTTAGAATTTTGCATATCTGACCAACTTGCATTGAGATGTCAAAACCGTACTCACATCACAGAAAAGCTTTATGGGTGTGACTAAGTCTCAGTTTACTAATATCTAGTACTGCTCCTGGAAGACTAAAATAATGCTTTCACTAAAAAATGCATTGCTGTTTCTGGCTTCTGGAAAACAAAAATAACTGCTATTTTTACCACATTTGCCATAACTCATGCTGAAAAGCTGTTTAAACAAACATGTTTGTGAGTTTCCCTCTTCTCACTTTCTGAAAGTTTCAAGAACAGAAAAGTTCTGTTCTACAAGGAATAGATATTATCACTTTATAACAGATCATTTTTCATAGAACATGTGTTCAAAATATAAGAAAATTAGGTACAGAATTTGAATAAATAATATGCTTTAAGGAAGTACAGGAAAGTTGATGTACTTAAGCTAAAGATTTTTTTCTATTCTGTGCTTAATTTTGAAATACAAAACTTTTCTTCCCTTCAATGCCAGCTCAAAAAAAAAAAAAAAAGGGTAATTCTTTGCTGACAGTAAAAAGCTTTTATCCTG